CCGGCACTGCCAAGCTGGGTTAAGCTGGGTTCCTGTCCTGAGATGCAGTGCAGATCTGCAGACAAGACCGATCAATAGCAACTTAAAGCAGAGGTGTATGGGTGGTAGCAGACAGGGCGCTGACCTGGCTGCACAGTAACACTGGGAAACTGTAAATGGATGCATTTTATTGTGTGTTTATTAAAGCATCAGCTAAGTTAATTACAAAGACTTAAAAAAATTCATCTGCCAAGTAGGTGAGTCTAGAGCCAGGAGACTGAGCTGGCGGCTGACTCACCCCAGCAGTCTTCCATGAGTTTCGGTTTTGTGAACTAAGCCCTGTTGTTCCCCTGTTGCGCGGTTTTCGAGCCCCTGCTGGCTTGGAACAGCATGTTTTTGCGCTCTGCGGTTCCATTTGAGAAGTTTGCTGCAGTGCTTACCGAGCTTCCTGGCCGGCTCACCAGCTTGGTGGAGCTCACTTCCCCCACTTCCCAGACCCACCTCTCCTCCCCTGCTGGATGAGCCTCAGAAAGAAGTGGCTGAATTAACTGGGAGTCTTTTTTCTTTTTTGAAGACATTTTACTCAGATCCCCTGGGCAGGAATTAACCGCTCTTTCCTGCTGAGCTCTCTAGCCCAGTGGCTGAAGATTCTGAACCAAGTAGTGCTGATACAAAATCGTTTTTTTGTTTTTTTTGGTCTTTTGAGACAGGGTCTCCCTGTAGCCCCAGCTGTCCTGGAACTCACTATGTAGACCAGGCTGGCCTTGAACTCACAGAGATCCGCCTGCCTCTGCCTCACGAGTGCTGGGATTAAAGGTGTGTGCCACCACGCCCAGCCTAAAAACGGTTTTTGATTTAAGACTTCCGTCATAAAATATGGAAACCAGGATCAGGAAGATGGCTCAGTCAATAAAGTGGCTGCCACCCAAGCCTGAGTTCAGTTGCCAGCACCCGTGTGAAAAGCCATGTACAGTGGTGGGCACTTGTGATCTCAGTGCTGGGGAGGCAGATCCCTGAGGCTTGCCAGATGGCCGATCTGGCCAATCAGCAAGATGGGCAGCCAGTGAGAGACCCTATCTCAAAAAATAAGGTGGAGGGGGCTGAGAGATGGCTCAGCGGTTAGGAGCCTGGCTGCTCTTGCAGAGGACCCGGGCTCAAATCCCAGCACCCACATGGTGGCTAACAACCATTTGTAACTCCAGTTCCAAGGGATCTGACACCCTCTTCTGCCCTCTGCAGGCATGGCATGACATGGGTGCACTTACACATGCAGGCAACACACTCATACATATAAAAAATAAATAAAATAAGGTGAAGGGCTGGCAAGATGGCTTGGTGGGTAAAGGCACTTGGCTGTGCAAACCTGGTGATTTGAATTCAATCCCTAGGATGCGCATGGCAGAAGGAAAGAACCGAGTTCTGAAAATTATCCTCATCTTCACACATGTGCTGTGATGTGCCTTGCACACAGAGGAACATGACACACATACATATATATGCATGCGTACACATACATACATGCATATATGCCCCGGCCTGCAGGGCGGGAGACGGAGACTCGAACTCCCAGGGACCTGGAATGATGGGACAAGAGACACGAAGAATGACAGCAAGACAAAGAGCTCTGATCAAGCTGCCAAAGTTTATTTTTCCACGGGGATTCTTATACGGGCTGAAGCAGGAAATTAGCTGGGGAAGGGGAAGGGAAGGTGTTGTCTCAACGGGTTAATGAATGTCCCTTAGGATGAGGGGACCTGGCGCTGTGAGTCTGGTTGCAGGATAAGGAAATTGGTGGTTGCTCAGGCTTATCTTGAATCATTGGAAAGGTTGCTTATCTTAGGGGGCAGGGAGGACTGATCAGCAAGTTCTCTGGAGGCTGCTTGCCCTGGGGGGCAGGGAGGGCTGCCAGGCAGTGTGGTTTCCCACACATATACATACACATGAGTTCATACATGCACACATACAAATACACTTAAACATGCACATATACATACACACATACACATATAAAACACATACATACATGCATATAATACACACACAATAAAATAAGGTGGAGTGTGATAGAGGAAGTTACCTGATGTTGACCCTACATCTCTACATACATGTGCAGGGGCACCCACACCCAAATTCATAAGGCACATATAACATATACATGTATATACACATATAACACATAGTTAGAAAATGAAACCTAATTCTCTGAGAGCAGGCATGCTTGAAGCCAGACTGAGTCTTGGAAGCCCCCGCATCCCTGGGTGAGGTTGGAAGACAGAGAGGGTGGCGGCGGCTCTCAGGCGGTTCACTGGCGGAACTCCTGCTTTCTGTTCCCCCTCTGCTGCCTCTGACATGTCCCCCTTGAGCTTCCATAGACTGCAACCCCCTGGGTTGGCCTGGGGCTATGGGGGCGTTGTCCACTGAATCTAACTCTCAGCACTTTGCCAATGAGAGAGACACAAGGTCAGAGGTCACTGTGAGGAGCCCTGGGGCTCCAGCCAGGCCTGTCCACCCGTGTGATTCTGTTGTGAGCTGTGCCTTCCACAATGTGAACAGTGTATCCCACACAGTCTTGTAGAGACACCCAGAAACCTTCCTGAAGCTGTCAGCCAGGATCCTGCTGTGCACAGTAGGTCCCCAACAAATGGTAGTCACCACCCTGATTGCCAGTGTTTAGGACTAGCTGGTTGTGCGTGTGTGGTGTGTATGTGTACGGGTGTGTATGTCTCTGTGTATATGCATGTCTATATGTGTTTCTGTATATATGTGTGTGTATGTGTATCTTGATGTGCCTCTGTGTGTATGTGTATGTCTCTATGTGTATATGCATGTCTCTGTGTATATGTGTGCATGTATATCTTGAGGTGTCTTTGTATATGCATGATGTGAGTCTCTGTGTGTATATGTATGTATGTATATCTTGATGTATCTCTGTGTATATGTCTCTATGTATAGATGCATGTCTCTGTGTATATATTTATGTGTGTATGTATACCTCAATCTGTCCCTCTGTGTATATGTATATGTATACATGTGTGTGAATGCATGTGGAAGATAAGGATCAATAGCCTCCTCTATAGCTCTCTACCTTATTTTTTTCCTTCTTTTTTTTTGTCTTTTTGAGGCAGGGTCTCCCTGTAGCCCCAGCTGGCCTGGAACTCACTATGTAGACCAGGCTGGCCTCAAACTCACAAAGATCCTCCTGTCTCTGCCTCCCCAGTGCTGGGACTACAGGTGTGCACCACCCACGCCCTCTACCTTTTTTTTTTTTGAGGCAGGGTCTCTCTGAACCTGGAGTTTGCCAGTTCAGCTAGACTGGCTGGCCAGTGAGCCACAGGGATCCTCCTGTCTCTACAGGTGCACACCACTACACCTGGCTTTTTACCTGGGTTCACTAGAGATCTGAACTTGTAGCAAGTACTTTACCAGATGAGCCACTTCCCAGCCCCGGGGTCTGACTGTTGACAATCATGTCCCCACACTGATAATTGTGCTCCCTTCCCGGGCCAGGATGTTTGTTCAGGGTACTCAGTGTGCCTGGCACTCCTGCAGGGGCTTGTCAGCATCTCTGTGAGGTCTGGGCGCAGGCCTCATGGCTGGCAGCGGCAGCCCTCTGCCTCCTTGAGGCACCATCCTGACCTTTCTAACTTGTCCTTGTTTTTCCCTGGCTCTGTCTGCAAGTTCACATCTCCTCTTGCTTATTTTTTCAGAACATTGGGTGATGTCTACCCTGCATCCCTCTCCATTCCATCTCTGGGTCACGTGCCAGTAGAAAGCCCAGCTTAGAAATAACCAGAGTAGGTCGGCAGTGCCTTAATAGGAATTATGATACTGACTCTGGGATCACTGCTGTGGAGACTGGCCTCACTCCCAAGTTTCGGGGGGACCTGCAGTGTCTGGGGAGCTCTGGCTTCCTGCTTTTACACAGTCTCTGGAAAGAAGGCAGTTTGGGAGGACTAGAAGAGACCCAAGCATGCACCTGCTGGCCTCACCGTTTCCCTGCCTCTCTCCAGCCTCACTTTAATACTTAAACACTTGAGTAGGTAAAGGAAAGTGGTGGACCTTTGATGTTTCTGTCCACTCAGCCTTCTAAGCCGCCTCCTCTCTATTAGCACAGAGAGTCTGTTGGGGTCTTGGGAAGGGTGGGGCTGGGCATGGCTGCAGAGAAAAGGCTCCCCTCCCTGGAAGACTGAAAGTGCTCTGCACAGAGGTGGCCCACCCTCCATCTCAGCATCCCCAGGGCAGGTGCTCTTGGATGGTAGGCCCTGGATTCTGAGCCTTGAGTTAGATGTAGACAAGGAGACAGACTCCTTGTAGAGGATATCTCACTTCCAGGGGGTTCAAGAGTAAGGACTGGGGTGAAGTCTCCTAAGGAAGGACTTCCCAGGAATGGAGATTCATTGAGCCCCAGGGAGCTAGAAGACTCCAGGCAGCCCTTTATCAGGCATCTTTAGGACACTGAGATGCTTCTGCCTACGTGGAGCTGAGATCGTGCAGTCACACCCCTGAGCTATGGAACACGTGTGTCCTCTGTGCTCTGTTGTAGGGTCACAGATAACCCCACCGTATCTCTAGGATTCTCTGAGCAGCAGTGGGGAGGGATGGTACAGGAGGGCGAACATTCTCATCCAGGTACTGGTGAGCAGCAGGTGGGCCCAGAAGCCTTGCTCACCTGAAGCTCCTGGAGTTCCCTGCTCTGACCCACCACGTGAGACCCCCTTGTGGGGAGTACCAGCCGGGACTGTTCGGAAAAGGAGCACAGAGGACTCGAAGTCTAGAGGGAGCAGGTGAGGCTGGCTGGGGTATCAGGGGATGTGGGGGGACAGGCCGTCAGAGATGTGGACTTGAGGGGGAGAGAAGTGTTGCAGTCCCTGCCCGGGGACCGTGTGGCCTAGGGTGGGGCTCAGCAGACTCTGTGTGGTGGACCTGGTTGTCTACCCTGGACTCAGCTAGCTGCCCTTGGCTGTTCTCGTTGCGGGACACAGAGACCATGGAGAGGATGGTGGGCACTGAGCCTGCCTCACTGCAAGAGAGAAAATGTTTATTGATATACACTTTATTATCTTTTATAAAACTTCCTTTGGCTACATGGGCCACTATGCTTGTTGACGGCAGCCCTCAGGGTCCAGTATGGAGCCAGAGTCCACTCAGAGGTGGGCACTGGAGTTTAAGGACTCAGACCAGGAGCTGCCCACAGCATCCTGGAAGACACCAAGTATGTGGGCAGCTGCCCAAGGCTGGTCTGGGAGAATCGGAGAAAGTCGGCTACCCAGGGTGGCAAAAGGTCCTTCCTGGGTCATGTGGCTGGCCAGGGTTAGATACTCCTCCATTAAAGTCATCGGATAACTCATCAAAGGGACAGAGACTTGTGTGCAGACTCAGCTACAAGGCAGGTGGACTGGACCCTCTTCGGAATAGTACCAATCTCTCAAATTTGCTCAGATGCCACCTCAGGAGGCTGGGCATCCCCTGCAGACTGGGCTGAGGCCTATTCACTGGGTCACGTGGGAGGTGGGCTGCCTGTAGAGGCAGGAGGTGGGTATGGCCGGTGGTTCCTTTCTCTCCTTCACCATGGAACTTCTGATGAGAGGGGACCCTCCCACTATGCTGGGGAGCGCACCTTTGGTACAGGGAGTCACTGAAGCAAATAGGTGGGGGTAAAGAGGCCACAGGGTCTGCCTGTTACTCAGCCACTTGGTCACACCCCAGTCTCCAGACACCAGGGGGCTAGAGAGAGCTCTTGTCCTCCCAGGTGGCACAGGGGCAGTGGCCCTGCTTTTTCCCTTTGGCAGATGGTCTCTGGAGGCCGGTGGCTGCCATCTGCCCCAGCCTTGCCCCCAGGCACTGGTCTCTCACGAGGCATTCCCAGGGGGACACTGCATCTCCATGGTGACCGTATTGGGTGTGCTGCTGGCCGTGTCCCCCAGCTCAGCACCATCCCTCAGGGCCCTCTGGAAGACCACCCTGAGAGGTTCCCAGAGGCGTTGTGACTTGTCCCTCCCAGACAGGAAGTAGACCACGGGCTTCGAGCTGCTGTTGATGCAGATGCACAAATCGGTGACGTACTCGGGGAAGGGGGCCGGGATCTGGAAGACCCAGAAGAGGAACCAGTCAATCCCGAGGTAGATAGAGGACACCAGGAAGACGGAGACGATGGCCAGGACCACATGGTTGAGCTTGGCAGAGCGCTGGCGCCGCCGGGCCCGGCACTCCACGTGCAGGATGAGCGCCAGGCAGGGGAGCACCATGAGGGGGCAGAAGACGAAGAAGAGCAGGACACCCAGGGAGACGTCCATGTTCCGGCAGGCCGACCCCGCGGCCTCTCGGCCCAGGAACGCACAGCAGTAGTTGTGGATGCCCGTGACCAGCAGCGACAGCAGCCAGAGCAGGGCGCAGACCACGGCGGACAGGCGCTTGGGCCGCCGGTGCCAGTACCAGGCCGGGAAGACGACGGCCACGCAGCGCTCGGCGCTGATGGCGGGCAGGAGGCTCACGCCGGTGAAGAAGGCGCAGAGCCCTGCGATCCGGGACGCCCTGCGCACGTAGTCGGCGAAGGCGCTCAGGACGCCGCCGGTGTTCAGGAGGGCGATCACCGCCTTGCTGAAGAGGTAGGCGCCGTCCGCGCTGGCCAGGTGCAGGAAGTAGACGGAGAAGGGGGTCCTCTTGATGGAGAAGCCGAAGAACCAGAGGACCAGCGCGTTGCCTACCAGGCCGCACAGGCAGAAGAGCAGGAAGATGTAGCTCATGACCGGAGGCGGGGGCAGCATGGCGATCTGCTCGATGGTCAGGAAGCCTCTGCTGTAGAGCTCCGGGGCCTCGCTCCCGCCGGGACACATCTGTGCAACAGCAGAGGGGACACACCTGTGAGGCCGCCTGCCCCTCCCCTGCCCCAGCAGGCTCATGCCTGTTCCCACTACCCACCTGGGGGAGAGGGGGCTGTCTAGGGTGCTGGTCTGGAGTGGTTAACCGGCAGAGGTCACAGCAGAAACAGCCCCCACCCCAGCCGACACTGCTTCGAAGCGTCCTGAGCCAGCAGCCGAGACCTGCGTGTCCACAGAGTGACTGGACAGTCATGGCATACAGCTTTGCGCTGCCCACAGGCCAGCCAGGTTCAAATGTGCAACATGAGATGACTCAGTGGGTAAAGTGTTTGCTAAGCAAGTGTGAGGACCAGCGTTCAGATCCCCAGCACACACACAAATGCCAGGCGGGCACAATGGCCGTTCTGTGATGAGCAGTCTGGCTAGCTAGTTAGGCTGCATCAGTGAACTCTGGGTTAAACTGAGAGACCCTGTTCTAATCAGTAAGGTGGAGAGTGGAGAGTGATTGAGAGAGACTCTTGGTATCAACCTCAGGTCTCCACATGAATGGAAAAAAGGTCATCCATCAAAAAGCTCAGGGATAGAAAGTACCTGTGGTAAAAGGTAACGATGACCATCTGGGGCCAGCAAGAGGGCTCGGGGATAAAGGCACTTGCTGCCAGGCCTGAGGACCTGAGTTCGATTTTAGACCCACATGGTGAAGGAGAAAACTGACTCCTGAGGGTTGTCTTCTGACTGCTACTCATGTGCTATAGCATGTGCACGCGTGCACACACACATACATGTTAAAGTAATGTAAAGAAATGAAAATCATTAAAAAAATGAATGGATAAAATCTGGGCTTGGTAGTGTAGCTTTGTCGTCCCAGCGAGTCCTTAAGATTAGGCAAGAGTCTTTTTAAAAAAAATATTTTTATTTATTTATTTATTTATTTAATTTTTTGATCTTTTTTGAGACAGGGTCTCCCTGTAGCTCCAGCTATCCTGGAACTCACTATGTAGACCAGGCTGGCCTTGAACTCACAGAAATCCTCCTGCCTCTGCCTCCCGAGTGCTGGGATTAAAGGTGTGTGCCACCACACCCGGCTTATTTATTATTTTTATTTTATGTGTATGAGTGTATTGCCTGCATGTATGTGAGTGCACCCGTGTCGTGCAATTCTGCGGAGGTCAGAAGAGGGCGTTGGATTCCCCTGGAACTGGTTCATAGCCACCATGTGGGTGCTGGGAATTGAACCCAGGTCCTCTGCAAGAGCAGTCAGTGCTCCTAACCGCTGAGCTCTCTCCAGCCCCATAGGCAAGAGTCTTTAAATTTCATTTTTATTTTATGTGTATGAATGTTTTGCCTCCATGTATGTAACTGCACATGTGGGTGCTGGGAACTGAACCCAGTGTTCTTAACTGTTGAACTATCAAACCCCCCTCCACACACACACTTTTTTTTTTTTTTTTTACAAAGTCTTACTATGTAGCCCTGGTTAGCCTGGAACTCACTATGTAAACCAGGCTGGCCTCAAACTCACAAAGATCTACTTGTCTCTACCTCCAGAGTGCTAAGATTAAAGGTGTGCACTACCATGCCTGACCCCTGCAGGAGGATTTTAAGTTCAAGGCCAGACTCGACAAAACAGTGAGACCCTGTCTCAAAATAAGAAGTAGGGAGGGGGCGGGAGAAAAGACTGCATGCAGCTCTTCCAGAGGACCTGGATTCAGATCCTAGAACCCACATTGGGTTGCGCACAGAAGCCTGTAACTCCAGCTCCAGGGAATCTGACACCCTCTTCTGGTCTCTGAGGTCACCTGCACACATGTGCATATACCCACCCACAGACACACATGCATACACATAATTTTAGAAAATGTAAAATGGGGGCTGGAAAGATAGCTCAGCGGTTAAGAGCACTGACTGCTCTTGCAGAGGATCCAGGTTCGATTCCCAGCACCCACATGGCGGCTACGAACTGTCCTTAACTCCAGTTCCAGGGGAATCCGAAGCCCTCTTCTGACCTGTGGCATTGCATGACACGGGTGCGCTCACATACATGCAGGCAATACACTCATACACATAAGACAAAAATAATAAATAAAAAAATAAAATGTAAAACGAAGGCTGGAGATAAAGTTCAGTGGCAAGGGACGGCCTAGCACGTGCGAGGCCCTAGGCCCAACCCCCGGTACTGCCAGTAGTAACTGAGTAACTGAGTGTGAAGGCGAAGGTAAAAGTGTGCACACCAGTCTGTTCTCCCAAGTTGTTCTTGTAATGCTTCAGATTTTAAACATGAAAACAGTTATTTCTTTTTTTGTGTGTGTGTCTTTTTGAGACAGGGTCTCCCTGTAGCCCCAGCTGTCCTGGATTCACTATGTAGACCAGGCTGGCCTCGAACTCACAGAGATCCACCTGCCTCTGCCTCCCGAGTGCTGGGATTAAAGGTGTGCGCCACCTGGCCCAGTGAAAACTGTTATTTCTGAAGAAATAAAATCACAGCCAGGTGTGGTGGCGCATGCCTGTAGTCCCAGCACTCCGGGAGGCAGAGGCAGGCGGATATCTGTGAGTTTGAGGCCAGCCTGGTCTATAAAGTGAGTTCTAGGTCAGCTGGGGCTACAGGGAGACCCTGTCTCAAAAAGACCATAAAGAAAAGAAATATCACTAGTAAGAAAACGTAATAATAAACCTTGGCCATAGCTGGACCAGAGCACTTGGGGATGAGCGACAGCTGCCCTCTGCTGGGCCAGGGCTGTCCTTTGGGGTTCTGGCTTGTGAGAAAGTCTAGGGGGGCGCAGAAAGGGGGGCTTGAGGTGGTGGTTACTCATCAAGTTGTGGAAAGCTTTTCAGTATTTTACAATGGACTTGGTCAGAAGAACCTAACCCAGCCAAATACCAGAACTGGCCCGGGGTGGGGGTTTGGGGAGGGCTGGTCTGATGCCTAAATGCATGGGATTGGGCTGGGTCTCAGAACTTGGCATGTGGGACACAGTGGCAGGGCACCTCTCCTGAGAAGGTGGACAGCCTACTCTACTCCATCCAGAGGGCTCCAGGAGACTTTGGTGGACTGACGGATCCTTCCTTCAATCCCCAGAGAAGCCATATCTTTAGTTCACAAAATGATGTCTCGAGCTTTCCCAGTTAACATTTAAAATATGTTTTATTTATTATTATTTTTATTTTATGAGTCTATTGCCTACATGTGTGTAAAGTGCACCCCTGTCGTGCAGTGGCCGAGGGGGTCAGAAGAAGGTGTCAGATTCCCCTGGACCCGGAGTTACAGATGGTTGTTAGCCACCACGTGGGTGTTGAGAATTGAACCTGGGTCCTCTGTAAGAGCAACCAGTGCTCTTAACTGATGACCCATCTCTCCAGCCCCCCAGTTAATATTTAAAAACAACTGTGTGGACTGGTGAAATGGCTTAGTGGGTAAAGGTGCTTGCTGCCAAGTCTGATAACCTGAGTTCAATCTATGGACCCCACATAGTGGAAAGAGAGAACCGACTCCCAGAAGTTGTCCTCTTACCATGTTATATGCACAATCCACCTCCGACCAAATAAAACAAATAACATGTAATAAAAATAAAAGTGAAAGCCCAACACAACCCATCTGTGAACTATTCTGTTCTCAAGGTTTTTTGGACACCTTCCTCCTGATAGAAAAGTTGCCTTGCATGCATATCTTTCTCCTTTGTGTATTCCTGCAGACATCACTAATCTGTCCCAGAACTCTCTCTTCCTAAGTTATGTCTTTTCATGGCTCAGGGTAATAGGAAGGTTCTAGGGAGCATGATCCTGTTTTCCACCTTCCAAATGGCCCTGGTAGAAAGCTGGGTCTTGAGAAAACACTTTGCATTGACATTTCCTAATAAAACAAAGGATCTTCTGACCTGGCAGGTCAAGAGAAATTTGCAAGAAGTGGGGAGTGCTGGTTTCACTTAGGGAGATTCTGGGCAGCCAGAGAAAGCTGTTAGGGGTACCCCCCCCAGCCTGCCTCCCCTAAACATCCATTAACTGACATCTCTGCCTGTCCAGCTCCAAATCGAGTTGCTTAGCTTTTTCGCTGTTCCACCTTCCTGCGGTTGACCTTGCGCCCCAAGCATCCGCTCACCTCAGAGGACCTGACCTGGTGGGGGGGCGGTGTCTACGAGACCCTGTCTTGTGAGGACCAGCTCTGCATGAGGGGGAGCTGGCCTGCTGGGGCTGGACCTCCGTGCCTCACCCTGCTGGAAAAAGCTTGCAGTCCTCTGCTGGAGGGTGAGGGGGAGGTGGAGGGTGAGTCACTGGGCACAAGCTACTATTCTAAGTCCCATATGTCTCATAAAACACCCGCTGTGGAGCCTCCCCCTCTCAGAGCCTTGTCTCCACTCTGGGGACTTTGAGACACCACCCCCGCCCTTTGTACGCGCAGTCGCTACCTCCTAGGCTGCCGTCTTTGCACAGTGGTCCCTATGGGGAGGAAAGGGTCCAGGACACTATGGGGGCAGTGGTGCTTGAAGGAGTTGGGGGTGTGGTGGAAGGAGTCAGTTACCACTCTGGCACAAGCCTCAGTTTTCTCAAGTTGGAGGAGGCTAGAATAACTGCAAGGGTTTCCAACTTGAATGATCTGCTCAGGGTAGAGAAGGGAAGCCCAAATGTTCAGAAGGCTCACCAGCCTTAGGGGGAGAGTGCTGGGATAGATTAGTGATGTCTGCAGGGATGTGTGACAACTTGAAGAAGTTAGGGCCCGGGTTGCGGGGGGGAAAAAAAAAGGGGGGAAGGTGGGGGGCGGGGTGGATGGGTCAGCCCAGAACATTGTCCAAGCCACAGGCATGGTGGCTAGCACCAGCTACAGAATTACATCCACGCCTCATGCACCCCAACTTGGGGCGACACTTGCCTTGGGTGTCCCAGAGAAACCCAGCCCTGTGGAACATACAAGACAGGTGACCACCATGGAGCCAGTGGCCCAGGCTTCCTAGCTGGGTCTGACCACAGTGAGTAGTGACTGTCAGGGGGAGGAGGTGAAACCTTTCAAGGCTGGTAAACAATGGCTCAGAGCAGCATGGGAAGGAACTTCTGGGTGCCCAGTGCCTGTGTTCGCCACGCTGATGAAGACACTAGGCTCAGAGGGACCGAGTAACCGGGGCTAGGCCAGCAAGACCAGAGGATCCCTCAGCGCACTGTAACCCAGAGCTGGAAGGCAGGCCTGATTAGTAGATGTAGGAGCTGGGCTGCCCCTCCCAGCCACGCCCTCCTGCAGACCAGGGCCCCCTGCTTGTACTACTTGCCTTGTTTTGGTTGGTGGAGTGGGCCTCCCAGGTGCAGTTTCCAGCCATCTTCAGACCTGAGAGTCCAGGCTCCTGCTTACAGCTTACAGGCCTCACCCCTATCTGGTAAAAGCCCAGAGAGAAGGTGGAGTGAGGTCAGCACAGGTCCCCCCAGAATCTCTCCTCCTCGAAGCCCTCCATCCCCAGCCCCCTAGACGTTTCCGGCCTGTGGGTCTCACCTTACAGAAAGCCTCCCTTGTTCCCTCTGAAGCAAGGGTTTTTTAGGTCCTGTCCTGGTGACTTCCAGAGCAGGTTACTCTGTGTGTATAGCCCACCCTGCCTGTGGGCCCACACTCAGACCCTTGCTGGCCCCCTGCTCTCTGGGGAGGAAGCTCTTTCCTCTCCTCTGTCACTGACTGCTAGGTGTCTGCATTCACCCATGTCCATGTCTGCGGCATCTCCTGTGTCCCAAAAGGGGCTCCAGCAACCAGTCCCAGAAAGGAGTTCAGGAGGGCAGGAGGGCAGATTTTTTTTTTTTTTCTTGACAGGGCGGGCTTCCTGGAGGAGGAGGAGGTGGCATTTAGCTGGGCCTTGTTTTACCCAGATGCTAAAGCCTCTGGTGTTTCCCCTGCAGACTGCCTGGTCACCTGAGACACTGTCACCATCCTCTTCCCCAGCATAGGCAACATGCAACACACCTGCCTGCTCCATTGGCCAATGCGGTTCTCATCCTAGATGTAGGGCAGGCGCCTCCCCAACCCCCATGTAGCGTAAGCTAACCTCTAGGATGACTTTGAACTTTCTGGTCCTCCTGCCTCCACCTCGAGTTCCAGGATTACGCACCTGTAGCAACCACACCTGTTTTATGTGGTACTAGGGACCAAACTCAGGGCTTTGTGCATGCTAGGTGAGCACTCTACCAACTCAGTCAGGTCCTCAGCCCCTCATTCCTCTTTGATGGGTATACCTACGCCTAGAGGCACACTCCTAACCCTGAGACACACTGTGAAACTGTGCAGATCTGTGTATTGTCAAGACCCAGCAGCTGCAAATGGTTGTTGTGGTTGCCCTGGGTCCTGGGGGTGGGGGAGGGAGGATGGCACTGAGCTCAGACTGCCAATCTGGAGGCTTGGGAAGGGTAACAGTTGGAGAAGGGCTGACCCTGCCCTAGACTGGTCCACCATAGCCAACAACAGCTCACTTCAATACCCACCCTGGGTCTCCTGGAATTGAGCCCAGTCCCATCTGCACTGCCCCCTGTAGACAAACATCTATCTATCCCCACCAAGCAGGTCTGAAGTTGTGTTAGGACCCAGCCTGGCCACAGGCTGCCAGACTGTCCTCTCCCATGAACATAGCTCAGGGTAGAGCTTACTACTCCACTCCCTAGAAATTCTTTCCTGGCTCTGGGCGGATACCCAGTCGCCACGCGCAAGGCCTCTGCCTCCTCCCTCCAGGGGGTGGGCCCAAGCAGCTGTATCTGCCACTGGCTGCCGGGAGAGTATCCTGCTGTGTGAGTGGCACGCCCCCTTTTTAACCCTAGGCCTTACCAAGCAGCAGGACCCTGCCTTGCAGTCCCAGGGTATGTAGAGGGGACAAGAAGGGCCCAGAGCATGGTTCCCCTACCACCCAGATCATCCGCACCTTCCTGCCACAAGCCGTCCCTCAGCCCGTTCTGGACATCCTCAGGGTGTGTGTGTGTTAGGTGCATTAATACCCAGACAGACTGGCTCAGCGTGGTGTCCAGGGTGGAAGCACTTTGTAAGCCAGCGAGAGAGAGAGAGAGAGAGAGAGAGAGAGAGAGAGAGAGAGAGAGAGAGAGAGCTCGCATATTGCTGGTGCTACTCCCCATGTGTCCTTTCTGGCCACAGCCTCATCACTATGCTCTAGGGCTAGTCCAGGCTTTCTTGGTACCTGAATTCCGGGACCTGCATGGCCCCAAGTAGACACCGCCAGCCCCACCATTGCTGCCAATCTTCCTGGCGGCTCTTCCCCCTCCTCCTGTGATGTCCCGACCCAGGGGACCTTCCTTTCATCCCATCAGGCTAGACCTCCACTAGGCACATGCCCTCCGGGGGCTCACTCAGGGAGGTCCATTTGATCTGCAGATTCTACCCCTGGCCCTCGTCTCACCCCATATCCTCTGCAAAGTGATTCATCCATGCAGAAAAATCTAGAAGCTAAGTGGAACCCAGATGGGCCCTATTAAAGGCATGTGTGTGACGTGTATCAGATGCGTGTGAGTTCGTGTGCTGTGGCCAGGATCTGAGCCAATGACAGAACTGACTTCCACTAAAACTAACAGAAAAGGCTGCCAGTTTTGCGCCCCAGGTCCCTCCCCTCAAAGTACAATGGTGGGCCACCTGTCAACCTTCTGGGACCAAGGATGGACCAGCCCTCAGGAAAGTCGCTGCCTCATTTTACCTTCACCCCACTATACCCCAGGTTCTCTCCTCATCCCTTAGCTGTGGCCTGGGCTGGACACTGACCATGGGAGATCCCCAGACACATAGAGAACCTGTGTTTCTGCCTAGGACGCAGGTTCTTGCTCCCAACTCTACAGAGATGCTTCTCTTGGGGGAACCGAGACTTGGAAGAACACTTGCCAACAACCTCATCTGAGGCCACCACCAACGGCATCAGGCCTGGCTGGCTGGGAGAAGGTGAACCATAAGCTGTCTGACCTCCTCTGGCCGAGCCCAAAGCATCCCCGCCAGAGCTGCCTACACCTGTCCCAGACCAGGTCTTAGCCCCATGGCAGTCGCCTGTGCCTGTGTGTGCGATCAATGGAACCACAGCCCCGCACTTGGACCGCTGCCGGCTGGGTGTTCCCCTGTAGCTCTTCCAGAACACTGGCTTGGATACAAGTTTCGGGGAAGAATGGGGGACCCCCTACCCTCAGGAGGACAGGGTGGGAGCTGTAATGGAAGATGACTTGGGGTTAGGGGTGAGGCCAGCTTGAGGTAAGGTATCAGGGCATGCCACACTACAGGGGAACTCTTAAAGCACCCCCACCCCCAATATCCCTGGGAACCTCAGAGTCACAGGAGGTGCGGAGCGGGTCCTCTGGTGGGTGACAGCCTCATGCTGGGGTCTCAGGGCTCCCTGCTTAGAGAGGTGGGATATCTGCAAATCTGTCTGACCATGACCACCTCCCCGCCTCGAGGATGCCCGTCACTTTCCCTTCCGGTGCCTAGCCTTTGCCCTGTAGGGCCTGATCCTGGTCCTGCAGCCCCTGTTCCTACACCCGTTTCTGGTCTCCCTCCCCTGGTCCCTGGGTCCCAGGGTGCTACCTGCAGCTGTCCTGATCCTCCGAGGCCTTCCCTTTGTGGAATGCTCCTCCTGGGACTCCGAGTTTGCTGACCCACGGGGCAGCAAGCTAGCCAAGTACTGCCTGGAGCTTCAGAAAAAGCAAGCCAAGGGTGGAGGACTAGCCCTCACCCGCCTGGCCTGTTGGATGATGGCTTTGGAAGCAGAACCCGCCCCAAACCCAATTCCAGGCCCAACTGAAGGAGGAGGGGCTGGGAGGAGGAGGAGGAGGAGGAGGAGGAGGA